AAGGTTCAAACATTTGCTTATGACCTATACAATTTGCTAGAGCATTTTCTTATGACCTATACAATTTGCTAGAGCAATCAAAAATATTCAGTACATTCATACTGTTTTCAAAACATTTAACTTGTTCAAAATTCATTCCACCTTCTGACTAATAAACTTCTATTCAACTTATGCACGTGTTTCAGATTGCATCATTTGTAGCCTCACTGCTTTTTAAAATGGAAACTAAAACAATATAAAATTTCTTCATTAGCTATGAAACCTACAAAGTAGTATTTTAATATAATATCCAATGTGCTAAGACTGCAGTGAATTCTTATTGTTTTTATGGTAGTGTAACTTGGCACAATCTTTTAGAAGGAAATGTGGATATATATTGCAGAACCTTTAAGATACTCATAGAAACTAAAACTCTAACAAGTATTAAAAGCATATAGGGCAGGCATATGTTGTTATATACTGGTTGCTTGTTCCTATATCACACACTCCCACACACACTTATCCGGACTTCTTTATAAGACTGATACATTTTTTCCCTATGATACCAGTAATTACATGAAAATTGAATCTACAGTTGAGCTGAAAATAAAGTTACATTTATAAAACCAAGTTAAACATTTGGATGAGTCAAATAGAATGAAAGGAAATAAATGATTGCTGTGAAAATATAAAGAAAAAAATGACTAAAAGCAAAATGGCATTGAAGGAAAACTTCGAAAGAGATGTGTAGCAAGACCTCAGTTTTTGCTAGCATCGTCCTGCCATGTGAAAATTGATTACAGCAATGCTTCGTAGATGAAGTTCTATGGCAGATAGAGGGGACTGACTGCATGGTGCATATATTGGCCACAGCCAAGAAAACATCATCTGGAGAGATCCATTCTCCTCAGACACTATGAAATTTTTAGTGGTTTATTCCACAAACTTCAAGTGTGAAAAAAAGGGGGCAATAGTGTGTTTATATACCAAGTACTTGAGACTGCTTGCTAGAGGCAATCACAGTTCTTATAAAAAGAACTGTTTGCAGTTTAACTGCAAGGAGAGAAATAGCAGTTATTTTACTTTAGTCATTGGTGGTAAACTCTAAGGAAAATGTCATGAGCCTGAAGGAAGCCAAAACAATTGAATAAAAGGTAAAAATCACTGTCCATTCTTGCCATAGTTCCTCATTTATTTCTAATAAAATAGCTCCTATCAAATCTCAAAGTCACCATTAGCATCTCTTACCTAATAAAAATGATAAAATAATAAATCACTTGTAAATACCAAAAATAGCAGAGCAATTAAAAACAGATAAGTAAAAATGGTGACAAATATTTCTTAATTTAAAAATTTTAAATGTCTAGACAAGATGGAGGCTTGAAAAAAATATTTACATATTCCATCTATTTGAAATCCGCTTAAATGAAGAAAAAGAGGCTGGACGCGGTGGGTCATGCCTGTAATCCCATCACTTTGGGAGGCCGAGGCGGGTGGATCACGAGGTCAACAGATTGAGACCATCCTGGTCAACATGGTGAAACCCCGTCTCTACTAAGAATACAAAAAATTAGCTGGGCATGGTGGCGCGTGCCTGTAATCCCAGCTACTCAGGAGGCTGAGGTGGGAGAATTGCCTGAAACCAGGAGGCGGAGGTTGCAGTGAGCCGAGATCGCGCCACTGCACTCCAGCCTGGGTAACAAGAGCGAAACTCCGTCTCAAATAAAAATAAATAAATAAATAAATAAAAAGAATGACGCATGGAATAAACAATAATCTACTCTGAAATTAAGAAACAACCCCAACCTCACACAAGAAACTCTGCAGAGTGTCTGCTTTGGGCTAAAAAGAAAGAAGGTACTAAGCAGTTGGTACAGTATTCCCACCTGAGGGCACCAAGCAGAACTAGAAAAAGTAAGTAGAGGAAACTAGAAGGATCCCACTAATGACTTTTATTTATCCAGTACAAAATATCAATAGTGCCAAGCTTGAACAGTCCCCATCTAGAAGACTAAATCTGTGTTAATAGCCAGAAAAATTACAAATTAAGAACGAGTGAGAACTTCTTCAGCTAGGAATTATAATCATAATGTAGAGCTATATTAAGCACTAATTAAAAGAACATTTGGGTAAAGAAATGTATATTTAGATAAGTAAAATACAACCGAATTTATCTGTAAATTCAAATACATGTAATAATTTAGTGTCATGAAGAAAGCAGCCTTCAAATCAATAAAAAAGATAGATTGTTCACTGTATTCCGAAAACATATCAGATACTCAGGAAAAAAAAAAAGAAATCTCTACTACTCATTCTTTACAGCATAAAACATTTCATATGATTAAGGTTAAGATACAAAATAAAAACAGGAAAGTCCTAAAAGAAAATATGGATTGAGTCTTTTAGTATTAGTAATTAAAGACTCCCTCGACAGACACAGAAATTCCAAGCAAATGTAGTCAATCTACTTTTCCATGAGGGGGAAATAGGACTGGAAAATGCTGTTGATACATAGTGGCTTGGGTTTAATGTAGCGATCAATCAACGTACTGTAACTTTACTAAAAGTTACATACTGTTTGAAAGTAAAATCTTTAAACATAAATAGATAAGTTGATGGTAAGCTGTGGAAAATAAAAAGAGGAAAATACCAGCTGAAATAATGTTAGTCTCTCCCTTTGATGCTGGCAATATTCTCTATTTTGATCTGGGTAGTGGGTATGTACATGACTGTACACACTAGCAAAAAATCTTAAGATCAGTGCTTTGTTTGTTCTTTATTGTGTAGGTGTTATATGTCAATAAATAGGTAAGGAGTCTGTAAAAATATAGAAATCTCATGTTGCTATATTAATATCAAATAAATAGATAAAGCATTCTCAAAGATAAAGAGACCACTATGTAATGACAAAAAAATCGTCTTGGAAGTAATGTCAGAGGCATTTGAACCGGAGTGCCTCCATATTGAATAGAGTCTGGTAAAATAAGGCTGAGATCTGCTGGGCTGCATTCCCAGGCAGTTAGGCATTCTAAGTCACAAGATAAGATAGGAGGTCAGCACGATGTACAGGTCATAAAGACCTTGCTGATTAACAAGCTGCGGTAAAGAAGCCAAAACCCACCAAAACCAAGATGGTGATGAGAGTGACCTCTGGTTGTCCTAACTGCTACACTCCCACCAGCACCATGACGTTTACAAATGCCATGACAATGTCTGGAAGTTATCCTATATGATCTAAAAAGAGGAGGCATGCATGTTGAAACAAGAGTGTTCCCTAACCCACCCCTCACAAGATGTCTAACAGGGTTGTGGCTTGTCTGTTTGGCCACTGTGTGCTCAAACCCCTTATGGAAGGGAGAGCATGCAGATGGGTAGGTGCAGGAGCCAGAGAAAGCACTTTTGGGCTCCAGCTCCATAGCATCTAAGGGTGGGTGCTTGCAACTCCCAAACCCCCAGCGGGCATGTTATAGTGCCTCTTAGCTCTGCTGTCCGCAGATGGCTTAAGTGTTAACCAGCTCAGTGACCTGTTGGTGTTTGGGTCCTAGTCCAGTATCCAGGAAAAATAAGGTCACACATGGACTTGAAGAATGGTTAATGCTGGGGTTTTATTGAGTGGAGGTGGCTCTCAGCAGGATGGATGAGAGCTGGAAAGGGGATGGAGTGGGAAGATGATCTTCCCCTAGAGTTTGGCTGTTCCATGGCCTATCTTCTCTCCAAACTTCCCCAGCTGAACTCCTCTTGACATTGACATGTGCCTTCTCTTCTCTCCTTCTATGCTGTACCACTCTTCTGCTCCTCTGATCTGCTTATGGAGCCTAAGGCTTAGGGTTTACATGGGTATAGGATGGTGAGGTTGGCGGGGGATGTGGTGGGCCAAAAGGCCAGGGAACCTCTTCTATCCAGTATTTCCTTGCCTACTGTTCATATCGATATAATCAAGAAAAATCATAAAAATGGGCAACCAGTATCCCTTGTAGCTTCTCTGCCTATGGAGTAGCCATTCTTTATTCCTTTACTTTCTTAATAAACTTGCTTTCACTTTACCTTATGGACTCACCCTGAATTCTTTGTTGTGCAAGATCCAAGAATCCTCTATTGGGGTCTTGATCGGGACCCGTTTGCAGTAAGAATAACAGTTCAGAACTTGGATGAGTTTAACAAAGAGCCTCAAATATATAAAGTAACACAAAGTGAAAACTTCAAAACATTCAGTAATTGACTCAGAAAATCTAAAAGCTAATTTACTCACTATAAACTCAAGAAGTTAGAAAAAGAACAAGAGAATAACCGGAAAAAAAAGTAGACAAAAGGCATAATACAGAACAGAAGTCATTAAAATTTAAAATGAAGTGAAGTGAGCAGGCTTTATGGGAAGCAGCTAGAGGGCAGATGGAACAACAGGAGCCAGATTTACCGTCCTGCAGGAAATGACACCAAACAAACAACACAAGTTCTGAAAAAATGAATTTCAAACACTGGGCATCAGTAGAGTAATTGCCAAGAGAGAGGAAACAACCAAAATGGAGGTGAGCTCCATTGTCCTGCTCACAGCCTGGAGGGTTCCCAGGCCCCAGTGTGGGGTCTCTCTGAGATGAGGAGGCAGAGCTGAGTCTAAGGAAAGCCTGGGTGGTTTGAGTTTGCAAGGCAGAGAACTCAAGAGGAAAAATTTGCACAAAGAGTTCTAGAAATTTGCAGAGGACTCCCCTGAAGTCTTTGGCTGAGGTCTGATCAGCATATGCAGATCAGACCCGTATATAGAAAGCTACCCGTACACTTCAAAACTTCTTTAATATCATAATGACCAATAAAAAATTCTTGATCTTATTCTGGGTCTTAATTTTCTCTTTTATAATATAAGGGGTACAAGGAGAGAGTGATTTTAGGTGTTTCATTTAGCACAAAAATGCTCTGACCTTTCTACAATCTGGTCCTTTCATTGAATTCTTTTTTTATCCTTTGGGGGAACATACACGAATATTTTTTGTTCCTAACTTAGGTAAAAGAAAAAGGAACTCAGGATGTTGCAAGATGGCTTTTATTGTAATGCTGCAGCTCTTCCATCTTTCATGAGTCATTCTGGGTGCCATCAAACCTTCCAATCATGACAGAAAAGTGAGGCTTGGCAGCACACTCACAAAGTTTTCTTCCTTCTGGAATCAAAAGAATTTAAAGTCAAGAGCAAAGAATACAAATAAAAGGGAAAGTAAATGTAGATACCATTTTCAATGACTCAACTTTTCTTTCAGCCTGCTTTTCGCTTGCAACAATAAGCCCTGAGGTCTCAGTTAGACTTCCTTCTGTTTCCTAGAAATATAAAAAGGTTCCGGAAAAAGGTAGAAATTTAGATGATAAAATATTAATTCATTTGTCTTTATTTCATTACGGTCATTAGTAACAAATGTGAGAATCTCGGGTATGCTTAAGAATATGAATAAACCGGAAATCAGTCTTACTTAATTTTCCTGACTGATTGTCAGCCTGTTCTAGAAGTGACTATCAAAAAATACATTGTACATGTAGATACAATATTTTACAGACTAACACTTTAAAACCACTATGAACATGAAGAACAAACACAATTTTAGAGGGATTTATAGAGCAAGTTGACTTTGAAAATGTTCTATAATATTTTTATATTTTTAATATCACTCCCAAGTCAAAGAATATTAAATGAAACAAGAAACACAGTGGTCCACTTTCCTGACCACGCTGACATTACTGTTTTTATGCAAGTGTTCTTGGAGCAGTGGTGCAAAAAAAAGAAAAAACAATTGCCTTTAAAGAATACATAGAGCCAAATCTTTTTAGAGAGGTCATCTTTAAGTAGACAGACCTGTGACGTTTTTGCAGCATGAACGGGGCAGAGGGGACAGAAATGGATTGCAAGAACTGAAGAGGCTACTTAGCTCAGGACCTGTGAGGAGGGAGTAAGAAGTTATTCTCTCCTGGGGGTTGGATGGTAGGAGTTGGCACTTTTGGAGATTTCCCCATTGTCACTACTCAGGCTTGCAGCCAGCTCTGTTCAGAGATACCAGCCCACTCCTTGAGGCAGGCTTTACTTAAATCCCTTTATGTTTCATAGTTAGTGATGAAAACCTCTCCCACAACTGAGTTGCCAATGAAACATGTTTTCTACATAGCAGGCCAATATTTATAGACCCTTATGGATTTAACCCCATCTGACAATATAAGAGGTCACTAAACAAAACTTGATTTCATTTCCAGAGCCAATTATCTCACCTATTTTGCCCACCTCTGTTCCACACATTCCACAGCAATTCAAAGAAAGCTTTATTTTCACTTTGCTTTATTAACCTGCCGTTCCATATATATTCATACACCTGGTTTATTGTTGCATAGCTTAGTGTTTCCCTTCTGCACCTTCCTTCCCTGTTTAACTACACTGGACCACTGTTTGCACTGGACTTTTAATTGCCTGTTTCATTTGTCAGTCTCTCCACCTTAACAACGGAACTCAGGGACTGACTCGTCCTTCTCACTGTGGTGTCCATTGCACCTCGCATAGTAACTGACATACAGTGGGCATTTATAAATGCTCACTGTGTCTCTGAATGAATAAGTAAATTAGCTAATTAGCTAATTAATACTCTAGTAAGATCTTATGAAAGATATTTACATCAGTTTCTAAAAGTGAAGCTTGCAATTACATGGTAAAAATGACATTATTGTTGTTATTACTATTATACTACTACCATGATAAGCACGACCAGAAAAGCAAGAGATGAGCATAGACATTACTCATATCGACAATCCATATGAAAAATCCAAAATTATCTTCCTCAGAAATATTTCCCCCAGATACTTGCTATCCCTCAGATATCATGAGGTTCCTCCCTCATATCCTTCACATTTACTCCCAAAATGTTTTCAGAGAAGCTCCCTTGATTATCCTTTTGAAAAAAAGCAATCTCACCTCCCGCCTCCCCTACACACACACACACACACACACACACACACACACCCCTGTAAGGAACAGATGCTACTGGCTGGAGACTCACTACTGTCAGCCCTCTCTAGGAATTTGCCCTCAACAGAGGAAAGGCATGTCACCAAAGTCACAGTCCCCTTCCCAGGAAACAACTTGCATCCCATTTCTGGTCACTGCCTGACTATAAAGGCCTGGCCTCCATACCCCAAGTCAAGGCAATCAGAAGGCCCATCCCTGCTTTCCAGTTCTCCATGGAGTTGGCAGAGGCCCACCTGTGCCTGCTTCGGACCCCAATTTCTCTCTCTACCCAGCCCTGCTTCCTTCTTCAAAACACTTTAAATAAACTTCCTGAACTTCAATCTTTATTTCAGTTTCTGCTGCTTGCACATCTGACCTACAGACCCTTCCTTTATTCTGCTTTATTTTTCTCCATAGCACTTACTACATTTATTGCTCTATCACATATTCACACATCGCATATTCATTACTGACCTATTATATATTCATTTTCTACTGTATTGTTGGCCCTCTCCCTCCTCCCATCAGATTGTAAGCTCCAGTAGGGCAGGAATATTTTTTTTACTTGCTGCTGTAACCAGAGGACTTAGAACACTGAAAGCACTATATAGATTTTCATGATAAATATCAAATAAATGAAAGTTGGAACTTGCAAACTTATAGCCTGTTTAGACTACTGCTTCTGAACCCCAGGTTTTACTGTCTGCCAGAAATCCAAAGTATCTACCTTGGTATCCATTAATCAAGATCAGAGCAAAAATTAAGAATATTCAAAGGGATTTGCCCAAGCATAATTAGGACTATAGCAGCAAGAGTTAACATTTTCAGGGGAAAAACTTCTGTCACATTTCTTTAATTTATATAACTTCGATTATAATAGTCCTCTTCAAAACAATGATAGCTAGCATTAGCATAGAGTGCTCTCGTTTACAAAGCTTTACACATATTATTTCATTTAGTTTGATGCTGATGAAACCATGTAAAGGACATAGAATTGTTATGCTAGTTTTACTAATGAGGAGACTAAAGCTCTGAGATCTTAATGACCTTTTCAATGACACAGCTGGTAAGTGAGTTCCATCCAGGACTACTGACTCCAAATCCACTGTTCTGTCTCTCAGCCCACCCCCCTAATAATTAGTGACTCCACAAAACTAAAGCTGTTCTACAATACCTATCAGAAAAGCAAAATGTGGGCACCTCAGCAACCCAACTGAAAGACATCCTGTATGTAGCTTATTTACAATTATTCCAAATAATATATTTACACATGCAACATTCATGAGAATTCTGAGTTGTTTTGGTGTCATTTGTGGGGTTTTTTGCATATATATTTGCAACTGAGAATGAATACCATAGATCTTCTGGATAAAGGACACTTTGTATCTATTACTTCTTATAATATCTGAATATTCATCAACTCTCTGCTGTTCTGTTAAAGATATATACCTACTACCTATGATTATAAAGTTACTTTTGATTTTGTCAATGACTTTTATTCTCTCTTTTATATATTTCAAAAGTAAAAATATTAAAAATTCATATAAATAAAAACAAAGAAAATTACATATAGCATTCTCACAAATATATCACATTATCAGGTTGTATTTGTATATATTCTAATACTCTTTCTCTCAATATAATACATATTATTTTATACATTTATTTTTTTCTGAAGTATTTTATGTTCTGATGATATAGAAATGCTATCTTGTCATTTGAACATCTAGAAATCAGTTAGAATTTTTAAAATTTTTAAAGTAAGTTTTTATTAACAATATAATTACATTATAGATACACAATGTGATTGTCCACAGCAAATAAATAAATAAAAACCTAAAGGTTACACATTGCAAATAAAAATAAAGGGAAATACATACCTGATTTCTGTTTATTAGATCACAAGAGAAGGTCCAAAACGTTCACGTCTTATGATGGCCTGTCTTAGACTGCCTGGGCTGCCATAATAAACAAATACCACAGACCTGTGCAGGTTAAACAACAAAAATTTAATATTTTCACAGTTTTAGAGGCTAAGAAGTCCAAAATCAAGGTCCAGCAGGGTTTGGTTCTGGTGAGGACTCTCCTCCTGGCTTGTAGATAGCCGTCCTTTCACTTTGCCCTTGCATGGTAGAAAGAGAAGGAGTGATCTCTCTGATGTCTCTTCTTATAATGACATTATCCTGTTGAATCAGGGCTCTCCCCTTATCACCTCATTTAACTTCAATTACCCGCTAGAGGCTGCATCTCCAAATACAACCACATCGTGGGTTAGGGCTTCAATATATACATTTTGGGGGGACCACAGACACTTAGTCCACAACCAGGCTCAAGTCTAAAAATAAGAATAACTCTAAATAATATGCTCTCAAAGAAGGATCTTGGGGACGACTGAATATACAGTTTAGTACCCCAAATCCATGCTAGGCAAGGCATGCTCCTATCCAGATAGCAACTAAGGTATGACACGGGTTCCCACAATAGAGTCAACTTAGCTGCTATTAGCAACATTGCTATTAGTGAGTCACTTTATTGCTTAAGTCTCAAATTTCTTATCTGAAAAATAGGAATAATATGTTCCTCAAAGGACTAGTGTAAGGATTAAGTGATGAGTCCCAACTCTAAAGTTTACACATAAACCTAATAAATGTTAGTAGAAATGAAGAATGACCAACTGTTCCAGATCACCTCAAAGGATAGCCAGCTGTTTGTGGATTTGCTAATTCCATCAAATATGCTCCCAGAGTTCTAACCCAGTACCAAGGAAAGCTCTGGATTGACTCAATAAACCATGATCATATATTGAACACACGCTTCCTCTCCGCCAGCCTCTGTACCAGGTAATATACATTCTTAGGTAGGAATTATCAGATTTAAAGTGTTAATTATAGTTGGTATATAATTAGACAAGCACACTGGAGAGCAGCGTCTGTTGGTAGTGGTTAGTCTTTTAGGGCATTCGAGCTGCAAGTCAGGGTTCTAAGAAGTCAATCACTCTTCGATAATTATCAAACCTTAACAACAATGACCACACCTCCTAGGCACATCTCAGTCCTAAGTCCATTGGCAGTCAGATTTTTCTCACTGATTGCTCAGTCTCAAAGAAGAGGAGCTTTGAAGGCTGTAATGGGACTATATGCTATCAGCATATAAACAAAAACATCACAAAAAATCGTGGCTTTCCACTGAGCATCATCCCAGGTAACAGACCCTAAGCTAGTTCACCACTTAGGCTATAGCATTCAAATATCATAACTTTGTGAGGCTGGTACTTTCATTTTCCCCATTCTCAAGATGACAAAAAAAATAAAATATCATGTGGCTTTAAAAGTAACCTGACCAAGTCAAAGGCCAAGAGCTGAGAAGAGTTTCAAACAATAATTTTTCTAACTCAAAAGCCCATGAATGATTCTACAACATGTCCAGGAGGGGCAACCTGAAATTAAGCAAGGCTGGTAACTTAGAATTATGAATTGCTGACAAAGGCCTCTTCTTTCATGAAATTTCAGTAAAGACTTAGAGCTAGGATATAATAGACTATTCAAACTTGGTATTAGAGCTCTGAAAGGAATGACACAAAACAGCTATTAGAAGCCCAAGTGTAGGCGGGGCGCGGTGGCTCATGCCTGTAATCCCAGCACTTTGGGAGGCTGAGGTGGTTGGATCACAAAGTCAGGAGTTTGAGACCAGCCTGGCCAATATGGTGAAACCCCATCTCTACTAAAAAAAAAAGTACAAAAAATTAGCTGAGCATGGTGATGCACGCCAGTAGTCCCAGCTACTCAGGAGCCTAAAGCAACAGAATCACTTGAACCTGGGAGGCAGAGGTTGCAGTGAGCTGAGATTGCACCACTACACTCCATCCTGGGGTAAAGAGCAAGACTCCATCTCAAAAAAAAGAAAAGAAGGCAAAGTGTAAAAGGAAATGAGAATAATTGACTTTTCAGAGCTATTTATTTTCACTAAGACATAGAGTTCATATGAAATCCTTATTTATACTGGGTATGGAATCATACACATTGTTGAGATCTGAGTCTGACTGTGCCTATGGCACTGCGCGATGTATTTCAGTGTAAACAGAGTAAGTCTGAGTTTGACTTAGAGAAAAACAAAAAATATCTTTTAAAAAATCACTATATGCAAGGGGAAAACACTTCTCCTTGGGCCCCTTTCCTCCTGATTGATGAGCATTTTTGCATTTTTCAAAGTCATCAAAGGGTTGCTACAAGGCTTACCTTGCCCACATGTCTTTGGATGTATTTTTTGGTGCTACTGAGAAGACGTGTAAAGACAAGGCACATCCGCTGCGGTGTGGTGTGTCAAACTTGAATCACTGGACTTGAGAAAAGAAGGCAGAGTTTGTGTTCTGTGCTGAAGATAGCCCATGTATTTCTCTCAGGGATGAAAACGTTTTTGAGATTTCATCCCTGAGAGAAATACGTAAAAAACAAATTGGAGAAAAGGGTAAAGAAAAAATAGTATTTTGTTAATATATAAATATCTACAAAAATCCTCTCTTAAAATATCAGTAATGCAAGTAAATTAATCTACTAGTAGCAAGATTACCAATCTAATACAAAGTCTATTCATTGCTCATTCGAATGGCTATTCTTTTACATAAGGTTTTTGCAAGGTGGAATGACATGAAGAATATTGCTTGGAAAAATAGATGATGTAACTTTATAAGCATTTCTCAGGTATTCCTCTGCTGCTAGAATTTAAATGAATCTCCTTACTACCCTGGCCTCAGCCACATTAATGAATAATTTCTTTTCTCCTTCCGGTGAGTCTCACAGACTACTACACCTTTTTAACCCAACAAGTCCTATTGTATCTGCCTAAAGGAAATAGATTCAGCTATGTCAAAAGTGTATCTTTCAAGAACATAATCTTAAAAATGAATTGTTTTATGGCCAGGTGTGGTGGCTCTGGCTCACACCTGTAATCCCAGCACTTTGGGATGCCTAGATGGGTGGATCATCTGAGGTCAGGAGTTCGACACCAGCCTGGCCAACATAGTAAAATCCTGTCTCTACTAAAAATACATAAAAAAAAAAAAAATAGCCAGGTGTGGTGGCACTCATCTGTAATCCCAGCTACTCAAGAGGCTGAGGCAGGAGAATTGCTCGAACCTGGGAGGTGGAGATTGCAGTGGGCTCAGATGGCAGCTCTGCACTCCAGCCTGGGAGACAGAGTGAGACTTCATCTAACAACAACAACAACAAAAAGTGAATTGTTTTAAAGATAAAAATGTATGCATTGTATGCATTTTCTCTTTCTTCTGGTCTTCCACCTTATGGTCTTCAGGTCCATTATAATATAGGTTTTAGGGTAATGAGTACATTACACCAATAGATTTGCTCATATATTTAAAGAAAAAGCATAGGCAGCAAAGCACATTGCCATGTATGTACTTATGCAACAATCCTGAATGTTCTTCACATGTACCCCAAAACCTAAAACACAATAAACAATAAAAATTTTTAAAAAATGAAAAAAAAAACCATAGCCTAAATATGCATCATATTAAAGGAAATGAAGCAAAGAGAGGCTGTAGAAGTAAACAGGTCAGAGTAAATTTTATGCATTTAAGTACAGAAGCCACCAACAGAAGATGCAGTAAAAACCCTATCCTGTCTTGTGTCTGGTAACTGCTTCTTAGTTATGTCTTACCACTACCTTGGACTTGGGGTAGCACAAGGCAGCATGTGTCACCGACACAAGTGTATTCCAGCACATCTAGAAAAAGGGATATGGAATTAGCTCTCTTTCTTCAGAAGTCATAGTTCTGAGTCTCTGCCTGTCACTTTTCATCTTTTTTTTTGAAATTCAGTTTTGTGAGCAACTAAACTCTGGCTGAGAGAAGTGTTTCTGCAATCCTTTTCAATATACCCACTTTTCAATGTAATCTCAAACTCTGACTGGGTTACACATTTCAAACCTAATTCCTTAAGATTTATAGTATCTTAAACTTTCTTTAATTCGACTTTCAAATTCTAAGAGGACTGAGATAATTACATTTGCAATATGTAGAACTTTCATCATAGCTATGTGCAAAGAGATACTCTTGTCATCAAAAAATGGCTAGATTAATGCCCAGTAGCCGTCAACTCATCTTTTGGGGGTGGGGCAGCAATGCACCATGGTGGTTAGTTTGAGTGGCAAGCTGTCTAATTTATTTCTTCTGAATGAATTACCAGGAATTACGGTAATGCAAGAATAAAAAGGCTGTGCAAATGCCAAGTAATTAAGCACGGTGATGGAATTACATCAGGCTGCCGTGTGGGGTCTAGGCTTTAGCACAAGAATAGAAAATTGATTTATATTATCTAGATAATCATGTCTTTATTTTGCAGGTCTCTGCTACAAATTTACAATACTTTAGTCTGCTTTTTCCTAAGATTATGCCAGCTAGAAGGCATTTGCTTTAACTTTTATATTTGTAGTCTGTAAATGCACAGAAATTTTCTTGTCTTTTAGAGATATGTAGATAATCGAAAATACTAACTCTTCTCTACCCTGCATAAGTACTTACTATTAGACTGATAAGTGTTTAAATTAAAAATCAGGCTATCGACGTCTATTACATGCCAATATTCTAAATAGAAGTTATAAAATAAATTATTATGAAGATAAAAAGTAGAATAGGGACCCAGTTTGTAAAAGAACAGTGATTTACTGTATCACTCTTCATACATATTTTTGAAGAATAGTGTTTTACTGTATCACTGTTATATATATGTATTTTTATTATCCTTCATGCCCTTTAGGACATTAGTACATTTGTCAGTAGAAACTTGGATATAGGAATGAGTTATTTAAGGAAATCAGCTCTATAGAGCAAGCATCTCTTAAAAAGGCAATAATATCTTGGTGTCCAAGTGGCCCCAATTAAAAATAATAGTTACTTACACTTTTTGAATCCTAATGGGTCTCCTATTCTCCCTTTCTCCCACCTACCTTATCCCACAAAAGAATAGTCCTTTGAGAGGTATTATGTATATGTGGAATATTTTTCTTTTTTAATTTTATCTTGTTTTCTGAATAAAAGACATAAAGACTTACGTAAAATGGCACGTGTAAGCAGAATATAAAGTCTGCACAACTGTAAGTATTAGAAGCTTCAGAATATGATTTTTCTAATTTTGAAGTTCAGAAATGTAGCAACAAAACCTCGCTTGCGACAGATGAGCAAGTTCCAAAAGAGCATGGATCAAATCAAAAGAGAAAGAACATAAAATCACAGTGATATCTCTGTTTCCCAATCTAGAGAAATAAAGCTGAGATTTGGTTCTTAAAATTATGAAACTAAAGTACAAAAATTCATCTTCTCCTTTCTCCTGGTTTACTTCTCACAAAAAAAAAAAAAAAAAAAAAAAGCCTTCATCTGGGGAATTTCTAGTGCAGGGTATGGAACCCTAGCAAGTTCTGATAGTTTCATGTTTCAGCATGTCACTTTGTCAGGCACTCAGTGTATTCTCTGCTTATTCACTCACAGATACCAATCAAGATGTATTTCCAGCTAACCTAGGGGTCACCTTGAGTTGTTAACTGCCTGCAGCAAGAATGACAAAAACATTTTCCAGTATTTTACAATTATAATGTTAGACAATGTCATTTTTAAGTCAAGAAAAAAATTGAAAAGCTTAGCAATATAGTAGAGAAAGAATGAGTTAAGAAAAAAACCTAAATATGACCTATTAGGGTTAAGAAAACTGACTCATATTATCCTGAATAAGATAAAGCTAATGGAAAAGTATAAATTAGTCCAGTTAACTCTATGCTCTAGGCAAAAACATAACAAAACAAAAACCTCTGTAAAGAGAAAACTCAGTATGTATTTCTCAAAATCCATTTAGCTCATAATGAATTTTTGTTTTTATAGTAAACCAAGGAATTGTTCTAACTCAATGAAAACTTAAAAAACAAGCTAAGAGAACAATCACACATACAAAATATTTGAATGTTCAACACATCGAGATGTTTGACTTCATTTTAAATGAGTCAAAACCTTCTTGAGGGGCATATAATAATATGTCTTAAGCCCCACTAGACTCAGTAATTCCAGCTTTGAAATTTAAGAATGTGCCTGAAGATCTAGCAACAATTAGACTCTACCACAGTGTCCAAATAAATAAATAGGAACTTATTGAGTTCTGGAATATCCATAAAATGGAACACTCTGAAACTATTAAAAAATCATGTGGCAGAAGTTTATTTACTATAAAAGAAAGATATTCAAGATTAAAATAGAAATTCGACTCAGCTATTTTATGTGTCATTTTTGGGTATGGCCATTTTTTCCCAGCTTAACTGAAGGAAAACTGAAAAACAAAACCCTACATTTAAGGTGTACAACAAGGGTGTCCAATCTTTTGGCTTCCCTGGGCCACACAAGAAGAACTGTCTTGGACCACACATAAAATACGCTAACACTAATGGCAGCTGATGAGCTTTAAAAAAATTGCAAAAGAAAAGTTTCATATGTTTTAAGAAAGTGTACAAATGTGTGTCGAGCCATTCAAAACCTTCCAGGGCTGCACATAGCCCACAGGTGGTGGGTTGGACAAGCTTGGTGTACAATGGATGCTGTAACCCAGTACTGCCATTTCTCTAAGAGAAAGAAAAGGAGTTATGTTTTAAATTACTATTTCTTCTTTTCTCTTTCCTCCTCTGCCCGTTCCCCACTTCCTACCTCACTCTTTGGAAACAAAATTAGAACCTCTACCTTCCCTTCATCAGACACCTCCTACAGGACAAGCTCATCTAACTGCATGCATATCTAGAAGCCCCAGAGCTCGAAATCTCTCCCACCAGAAGATTACCTCTAGAGACAAGAGTCAATTTACAACTTAAATATGCCCACAGGAAACTCTTTCCCATTTGGAGAGCATCTGAGACTACAGCCACCTTAAAATCTAGCTCTGTCCATGATGGCACCAGCTCAACCACTGGGTAGGTAAAACAACAAAGCAAGTCACCTAGACTCCCAACCGCTCCTTCCCTGCATGCCGTTCATGCCAAGTTCCTTTTTAAAAGCTCTGACTTTCTGCCCCAAAAGTGAAGCCATGCCTTTAAAGGCAGGAGCCTGGACTTCTTTCCATAAGCTAAGTTTGAATTAAAAAGTCACTTTCTTTATATCAGGCCTCACTTTTGTTAACTTGACTCGGCAAGCATCGAGGGACTGAATCTCCAGTCGAGTTACAATGCTTTGATATATGTACATATTGTGAAGTGATATCAAGTTAGTCAACACCTCCATCACTTCACATAGTCTTTGTTGTGTGATGAGAACATTTAAGGTCTCTTTTAACAGATTTCAAGGATATAATACAGACAGTTCCCTACTTATAATTTTTCAGTTTTAAGATGGTGTAAAAATCAAAGTCAGTAGAAACTGCATTTTAAGTTTC